GTAGGATAAGCACTGGACCACAGGTTAGTTTGAAGTACAAGGTCAGGGGTTCAAACTCACCAGCCACTCCATGGAAATCCTATATAGGGTTGCTATGAGTCAACCAACTACCTGGCACTTAACAACTTTTCATCTTTTGGGTTGCTATTGTCAATGGTACTGTTTTCCTGATTTCCTTTTCAGAGGTTTCTTTGTAAATTTAAAGGAATCTGACTGATTTATGTATATTTTTCTTATACCCTGCCATTTTGATGAACCTTTCAGTGAGTTCCAATAATTTTCTTGCTGAATCTGGGATTTTCTATGTATAGGATCCTATCATCTACAAAGAGAGTTTTACTTCTTCTTTGCCAGTTGGATGGCCTTAATTATCTTTTGTTGCCCTATAACTCTGGCTAAGACTTCTAGCATAATACTGAGTTGTTGCTAAGTGCTATTGAGTCGGTTCTGACTACAGCGACCCTGTAACAGGGTTTCTAAGGGAGCAGCTGGTGGGTTTGAACTGCCGACCTTGTGGTTCACAGTCCAGTGCTTACCCTACAGCAGCACACCAGGAGTCCAGTATTGAATAGGAGTGGTGATGTAGGGCATCTTTGTCTGGTTCCTGTTGGGAAGGGTAACCGTTTTTCAGTTTCTCTCCAGTAAGAGTGATAGTATCTGTTGATTTTGTATACATGACCTTGATTATGCTGAGTAGTTTCCTTTCTGTTCCTATTTGAGTGTTTTTATTAATATTTTACTTTTTATTATTATGGAGAATATACGTTAAAAATGTTTATCAATTTAATTTATTCATATATAATTCAATGACATTGTTAGCATTCTTCAAGTTATATAACATTTTTATTCCACTTATCAGAATTGTTCATCCTCCATTAATGTAAACTCACCGCTCCTTATGTTTTTTTTACCTAATCAGTTGCTGCTGTCAACTTGCTCCCATATAGACTGATTTTTTTTTTTTTTAAATGTTTTGTTATGAATTATGTGATTGTTTACATGGGAGAACATTAGTTTTACATTCATACTATCATATATTGTTTCATTGCCATGGCTACAATCTCCACTATGCATCATCAACCAACCAAAGGGTATATACCCTGCAAGCACACAGCCCCTCTCCCTCTCTGGGTCTAGAGTCCCCAGCCACTCCATCTCTCCATGTCATCACCTTTGCCTCCATCACCGGCATCACTGCTTCTCTGGGTAGGGTCCCGCTCTCTGCTCCTCTCCCTTTATGGTCCCAGGGACTTCCACTCCGGGACTGCAAAGTCATTCACTCCCCTCCTTTTGCTACAAAATGTCTACCTTTATGTTTCCAACCCTCACAGTCAGTCCTGATAACAATTATTCACTATTATACCACAAGTGACCTATCCCCATCACATAGACTGATTATAAAAGAGCACAATGTTCTTTTCTAGTTAAGCTAAACTATTGTTTGGTTAGCAGCCCTGATTAATCATTGGACTGTTAGGCATAAGGCCAGTGGTTTGAACCCACCGGACACTCTGAAGGAGAAAACGAGGCAAGAAAGATTATAGCCTCAGAGATCAGTGGAGCAGTTTTACTCTGTTCTGTAAGAGTTCTGCTATGGCACCTTTGGTACAATGCAAGGTTGCTTTCAACCACAGGGGTTGCTGGTTCAAATTCACCAGCTGTTCCTTGGAACTCCTGTTCAGGGTTGCTGTGAGTCAGAATCGACTCCACGGCACTTAACAACAACAACAATAGGGTTATAGACTTCTAGTGTGGTGCTATAGGATTAGCACTGGAATTGGAACCACAAGGTTGTTGGTTCAAACTCACCAGCTGCTACTTGGAAACCCTATCCTGGGTCACTATGAGTCAAAACCGACTTGACAGACTCCTGGTGTGGCATTGTAGCATAAGCACTGTATTGTGAACGGCACATTGTGGTGTGGTGCTGTAGAATTAGCACTGGAATTCCAACCACAAGGTCGGCAGTTCAACCCACCAGCTACTCCTTGGCAACCTACCGTATACAGGGTCTCTGTGAGTCAGAACCAACTCGATGGCACTAAACAACAACATAGGGTTACTGTGAGTCAGAATTGCTTCAACAGTAGTAGATTAGGTTTGGGTTGTTCTTGGTTTTATAAAGACTTTAGGGGCTATTTTGGGTATAAAGATTATATCAGGGCAGTAGCTTCAGGGGTTTACCCAACCTCCATGGTTCTTAGCAATGTGGATTCAAGTGAGGCAGGCATATTTTTAAATACTTTTCATTTCTCATGATATATATATATTATTATTATATATAAAAGTTTTTATTGTGAATTGAGTGATAGTTTACATGGAGGAACATCAGTTTTATACTCATCCTGTTGTATTAATTTCATTGCAATGATTACAATCCCCTGCATGCTTCATTATTCTACAGTATTTGTGTCTATTCCTTCTGGGGTTTTTTGTTTCGTTTTTTTGGATGTGCACCAAAACACTCAGGAATAGACAGACAGTCATTTAAACAGCCAAAGGGCACACCCTGCAAGCCTGCCCCTGGCCACAAGCACACAGCCCCTCTTGTCTAGAGTCCTCAGCTGCTCTGTCTCTCCATGTCATCATCTCTGCCTTCATCTCAGGCATTGCCGCTTCTCTGGGTAGGGTCCCACACTCCGCTCCCACTCCTCTCCTGTGATGGTCCCAGGGTCCTCTGCTCCGGGATTGTAAGATCGATCACTCACCCTTTTTTGCTACAAAACTTCTACCTTTACAATTGCGACAGTCGCAATTTGTCATGATAATAATTACTTTGAATCATGAGAGTCTTGTCCGCATCTCCTTTCACCAGACCTGTCTAAATAGGATGGAAATGGCTCAGTGGGGATGAGTTTATTTTTGTTTTTACTTATTCATTTTGCATATTTTGTGTTTTAGGTGAAGGTATAAAATAATTGATACCACAGATTTACTGTATATCTGTTTATATACTATATAACTTTATGTTAAGGGTAACATAACATTTTTTGAAAAGTTATTAACAAGAACCTAAACACAGACTTTACAACTTGCATAAAAATGAACTCAGTATTGATCATAGACCTAAATATAAAATACAAACACAAACTTTCAGAAGAAAATACAGGAGAAAATGTACCTGGTCCTAGGTTTGGTGATCAGTTTTTAGATATAAAACTAAATGTGTGATTCATAAAAACCATTAATGAGGTAGACTTGATTAAGATTAAAACTTCTGTTTTGTGAAAGACACTGTTACGACACATTTGTGTTTGGTAAAACACAAATTTGACAAAGGATTTGTGTCTACAAAGAAATCTTAAAAGTTCAGTAATACTAAAACAGTCCAGTGAAAAAATTGGGCACAGGATTGAATGAAAATCTCTCCAAAGAAGATATACAGATGGCAAAGAAGAATCTGAAGTAACTTATCATCTGTTGTTAGTTGCTGTTGAGTTGGCTCTGACTCATGGACATCTTGTTGTTATTGTTACGTGCCATTGTCTCAGTTCTGACTCATAATGACCCTGTATAGGGTTTCCAAGGAGTAGTTGGTGGGTTTGAACCACCGACCTTGTAGTTAGCAGTTTAGTGCTGCCACAGCAGGACTCCTTGGCCACCTCAGTTATAACAAAATGAAATGATGTCTGGTTCTGCTGCACAGCTGCAGGTCCTACACATGATTGACGTTGGTTTGAGTACAGTGTTAACTGTGGCTGTTGTGTGAATCCATTTCATTGAAGGCTTACCTTATTTCGTTGGCCCTCTACTGTACCAAACATGTGAAACATAGAAACTTGATGAATCACAACAGAATAAACCTATTAGAGTGGTTAAAATCCAAAGCATGGACAGCACCACATGCTGGCAATGATGTGAAGCCACAGGAGCGATCATCAGTTGGCAGTTACTTATAAAGCTTAATAGTCTTATCATAACAACCCAGCAATCACACTTCTAGATCTTTATCCAACATGCCAAAATAGAAGCCTTCATGTGGATGTTTATAACATTTGTGTTCATAATTGCTAAAAATGGAAGCAACTTGCATGTCCTTTAATAAATGAATGGATGGACAAATATAGTATAGGTAAGCAATGCCGAGATACGTGAAGGATGTAAAGATATGGATGACTCTTAAATGCATATTGCTAAGTGAAAGAATGAAGTCTGAAAAGATTGCATATAGTATGAATCCAACATATGACTTTCTGGAAAAGATAAAACTATAGACACAATGTAACAATAAGTGGTTGCCAGAGGTTTGGAGGAGATAAAAGGAAGGGATGTAAAGCACAGGAAATTTTCTTGGATGGTGAAACTGTTCTGCACAATATTATAGTAGTAGATACATGACATCATGAATTTGTCAAAATGTGTAGAACTTTACAAAGAGTGAATCTTAATTAATGTGTGTAGATTTTTAAAAGTCCTTTCTTGGTCATTGGTGTTTGATTACATTTGTTTCATCAGGATTTTGATAACAATGAAATCAACTGTATTATCACCCACTTCTGCTGATATGTTGTTGTTGTGCAATGGAGTCAGTTCCGACCCATAGTGACCCTCTATAGGGTTTCCGAGGAGCAGCTGGTGAGCTTGAACCGCTGACCTTGCAGTTCAAACAGCTTTGCCGTCTGGCGCATTAACCCACAGCACCACACCGGGACTCTGCTAATTTAGTGGCTATTAAATGATCCTTAAAATTGGAATCTTCCATCTTGTGTAGTTTTTATTGACACTCACCTTTTCTAGGCAGTTTTACATGCATTTCTTTCACATCACTCATCATTTTAATGATGAGTAAATAAGTCAGACAGGTGAGTGGCTCCCTAATATTACATGTGTTTATTAGGTTTGTACTACATACTCTTTCTGATGTTTTTAACTCTACACCTACTTCTTAACCATGTTGTGCATTTTTCCATGGTTATTTTTTAGTAGTTCTACTTTCCCATATGAGTGAGCTGGGTCATGACCTTTGCTTTCCTTCCCAGGCATGTGAGCAAGGGCATGAGATGGAGATTGCTGCTCTGACTCATCTACACGAGGATGAGAAGGCACGGCTACAGGCAGAACTCCAGCAGGTGACTGCAGCCCACGAAGCGGAGATGCAGCAGGCGCAGCTTCAGACCCAGGTGACCAGGGGACTGCCACCCAGACTATCCTACTGGCAAGGCGGGATGAAGACAAACCCCAATCCTGAGCTAGGCCCTACCCTGATAGGGATGTGGGCTGCATAGTCTCTGGTCTTATCAATATGTCTCACCTCTTAGACATTACATGCCCTTGAGCTGGAAGCTCTGCGCTTGAGCCTGAACAACATGCACACGGCACAGTTGGAGCTGACACAGGCCAACCTGCAAAAGGAGAAGGAGGCAGCACTGACTGAGCTGCGTGAGATGCTCAATGACCGGCATGCCCAAGATCTAGCCCTGGTGCAGAATCGGCACCAGAGTGAGCTAGAGTTCATCAGGGAGCAGCATGAGCATGAGAGAGAAGCACTAGCACTCCAGTGTGGGCAAGAGACAGGTACAACACCCCTCCAGCGCAGTCTTCTCTGGAAAGTTTGCATGTACATTTTCTAAAGTACAAATTTCTGTTTGTCATTTTGGGTAGCAGGTGATTATGTCCCATGGATCCTCATGACACATTTCTGTACTGGATCAACCTCCACACGAGGAATGCAACCCCCATGCTTTGGGAGCTGCCTGTCAGCTGCTCGGGCACTCTGTCCCTGGGCTTTGGCTTTGTGCATCCATGAGTTTGTATATGCGCTCTGCTCTGGTGCAGTGGGTTCAGGCATGCTTCCTTTACTCTGCTGTGTGTCTATCTTCTGCTGAGGCCTCCAGTGTTAATGTTTGAAACTTATCCTTCCAAGCTGATTGACTCCTATGCTGACATTTTTCTATTTACATTTTCTATTTACATTTATCTTAGGACTCTCTGTGATTCAGCTTTATCAAGTCTGACTTAACACTGTTCCTGGCCCTTGGGGGCACTGGGCAGAGTGGGACCACCATGAATTCATGCCTTTAAAGTGTGCAGTTCAGTGGAGTTCAGTATATTCACAGGGCTGTGCATCTGTGTCCACCACCTAATTGGGAATATCATCTTCGCCTTGAGAAGATTCTTAGGCCCATTAGCTATCACCCTTCTTCCCTGGGGGGTGCTAGGCTGGCTTCTGTGCTACTCTGCTCAACTTTTATCTCATAACTAGAAGCCACACTCCCAACTGTTAGGATGCTGACAAGCTGTAACCCTGCTCTGGCCCCACCCCAGTCTTGCCTTACCCAGAGGTGACTGACTGTTGTTTTTCACCTTGCTTCTTATGATGCTTCCTGTTGCTTATGCATATTGTTGTTGTTGTTGATGACCCTGTGTAGGGTTTCCCAGGAGTAGCTGGTGGGTTTGAACCACTGACCTTGTGGTTAGCAGTTCAGTACTTACCCTGCAGTGCCATACCAGGACTCCCTTATGCATATAGATTTAAGCAAATACACATATATTTTTTCTCATTTTTAAAAGAAAATAGGAACTAATGTTTACTGTGTACCCTTTCTATCCTGTGCTTTATTCCTGTGAAATCTTGGGACATACTCTTCCAGGGCTTGTAGAGGGGCATGCTTTGGAGTGGGTGCTGGGGGAGTCAGTCATCCCTCTGTTACTTAGAGTAAGAGCAGAGGTTTGTTAGGACTCCCTGTAGAGGGTACTGCCTCTATTTGCTCTGTCCTCAGATTGCCTGGGCCAACTGCACCTCCCTCAGCTCCCTTGTATCCTTTCCTGTTTCACCTGGCATTTATACCTGCTGAATAGGGTTCTTCCAGGTGCTCATTCCTAGCCTCCTGGTCCATGCCCAGCCCTGCCCACCACTCCCTGGTTTACCCTGTACTCTGCAGGATTCTGTGGTGCCATGGGGTGTTTGTGCCAGTCTCCTTGAGTAAGAAGCCATTAGATCCTAGAAGTGTCTTTTCTTGTTCCAGCTCCAGCTCCAGCTTCAAATAACATGGAGTCTGGCCCAGAGTAGGTACCAGACAGAAGTGGGATACCAAAGTCTCTTATGGTTGTGGGTGCTGTGTCCTGGGAGTTGGAAGCTGACCCCACCTGCTCATCAACTGAATATAGGTGACAGGATTCTCCTCTGTTCTGGCCTGCACACGGTGTATTGTAGAAGTCAGATGTTGCTGTGGTTTGCTTCATCCCAGATCCTACCATCTGAGCATTCAGTAGACAGTGGGGCCTCTCCCTGGTGACCAAGTGTGGAGAAGCTGGACACTGCCTGCTGTGAACTACTACTGTGTTTTCATTGCAGCTGAGCTGAAGGAGAAGTTAAAATCCGAAGTGGAGAAAAACGTCCAGATAATTGAGGTACACTGACTGATCAGAAAATGTTTTCTTTGTATATTGTTCCTCCTCCTATCCGTGCTACCCACTAACCTTCAAAAAAGTCTTCAACCAAAATCCAGTGAAAGTTTTTGACAGGATGTGGTGATAAAAATGTATCATGTTTTCTTCAGAGGCAAAGCACTGTTTTATTTGTACAATTTGTATTTGTCAGAAGAGCTTTTTTCCTGTTTAATGTTGATTTAATTTAATTTAATATGAAGGGTGAAGGTGCCCACCCCTTCTCTGGACAATTGCTTGAGGGGCTCAGTAGACTTCACACTATGCTCTGGTGGAAACAAACTGAACTATTGAACAGGCCACGTGTGTATGGGCACTGGTGTGAAGTTGGAGATAGTGTCATGGTGCAGGGCTGGGGGAAAAGGACGATGATGAGGATAAATCAGTCTGGTAGACTGACCCCAACTAGTACATGCATGATGGAATGGAAACACTGTCCGGTACTCAGAGTTTGTATTGATGTCAGGTGACATGATATCCACTTGCAGGACCTTGTCCAGGTTGACACATCTGCATGGTCCTCGTGATGGTTCATTCCTTTGTGGGTGGCTGGGGGAGGAGTCTGGTTTCTTGGTGCAATAGAATGAGCATGTTTCTCATGCTATTTCTCTGCATCCTTCTCCGTCTCCTAGGGCTGCTGTGTAGGGGCACTCAGGTGGTGGTGCCAGCAGGATTGCTATGCACTGGTGGGAGGTTATAGGTGGCTGCGGGCACCAGGTGTGGAGGATTCTGCTTGTTGGGCCCTTTCAGCCACTCTTGCCTAGGTAGGTAGTAGCGTCTGTTTCAGCCATAGTCAGTCAGTGAGGATTGGCTGGACCGTGGCACCATCTCTAGGGTAATACTTAGTTTGGGGAGAGCGTGCCTTTGTAGTGTGAGTTTCTTTACCACAAGTAATCTACCATTAACCATAATCTTCCTTTTCCCTATGTAAATTAGACCCTGAAGCGAGACTGCGAGTCAGAGAGGGACTTGTGTTTAGAAAATCTACGCAAAGAATTGTCTGAGAAGCACCAGTCAGAATTGGAGAGTTTGCAGAACCAGTTTAAGAAGGAACTGGCAGAGCAGAAAGCCAAGGTGGAGAAGATTTTTCAAGCCAAAAATCAGGCTGAATGTGAGCATCTGAGTAAAAGGAGGGTGGAACAGGCTGGGATGATACTGGGAAGGATTTCAGGAAGCCACTGGTTTGCAATCAAATACACCTTGTGATAATGAGTTTTTAAGTATCATCTGTACATAGGAAGGCAGGGTGTGGGGGCGAGTGGAGTGAGGGCAGAGGTGGGAGTGGGGGTTGCCCTTTAGTATCTGGGATCTGGGCGCTGCGAGGCCCTGAAACTTTAGTTTTCAGAGCTGCTTTTTGTATATTCAATTACTACATTATCCATTACTTGTAGAGTCAATTCCAACTCATAGCAACCCTGTAAGGAAGAGTAGAACTTCCCTATAGGGTTTCCAAGACTAAAATTATAAGGAAGTAGACTGCCACGTCTTTTTCATGCCAGCGTGGCTGGTGGATTTGAATGGCTGACTTGTTAGTTATCAGCTGAGTGTTTTACCATGGCACCACCAGGTCACCTTAATTATTAGACTACTACGATAAACATTGGACTACAAACCACAAGGTTCGTGGTTCAAACCCACCAGCTATTCTGCTGGAGAAAGATGAGACTTTCTGCTTTTGCGAGGATTTAAAGACTCAGAAATCTTATACAGAGTTGCTGTGAGTCAGAATTGATTCCTTGGCACTTAACAATAACAATAACAACAACCCAAGAAAGATGAAGTTGTGATTGCCAACTACACTCTGGGCATTGCATCTTCCCTGGTGGCATTACTCTTGGAGAATGACAGGTGTCTGAGGGTAAGCAGGGGCTGGCTGGCTGTTCTCCTATAAGAAGAGGCTGAAGAAGGAGGAACTGGTTGGAAAGTGCTTAGGATGGAACTTTTGTTATTGATTATGATACGCTAATCACATCCTGGTGTGATGCTGTAGGGTAAGTGCTGGACTTCAAACTCTAAGGTTGGTAGTTGAAGCCCACCAGCTGCTCCTCGGAAACCCTATGTAGAATTGCTATAAGTCAGAAGTGACTGGATGGCACTTAACAACAGTCAACATTATTGTTATGTGAACTAATTTCATGCACTTTCTACTGCTCTCCAGGTGCTCTCAAGGACCTGGAGACTCAGCACCAAATAGCTCTTCAGCAGTTACGGGAGGACTTACAGTCTCAACATTGCCAGTACTTAGAATGCAAAGAAAAGGAAGAAGAAAAACAGCTTGAGGTAAGCAGAGCTTATTCATCATTAATTATTTGGTATATTCGGGAGGTTTGAAAAGATTTTGGAATTGGGCCATCTCATAGTCTGTTATTAGTTAAAACTTAAGTACTAAACTTAAAGAAACGCTCAGCCTCTGGTAGAATTGGTAGATGAGACTGTAAGGATATAGATGTAAGCAGCATGGCCTGTGAACTGATTTGGTGATGATTTTCACACTTGTACTCAGAGAATCTCACATGGCTTTTGCAAGTGCCAGGAGATATCCCTCAAACCACAGTCTCTGACCAGAGTTGAATAAAGAATTCCTAACAGAAGCTAACCAGAAATATTTCTGCTGCTCATATATTCAAAATGCTTTTTCAGTGAAATTACTACATATTCAAATAAAACTCTGCGATGTGGCCAGATTTGCACTCAGACCATAAGTGCTTTTTTTTTTTTTAACCAAACTTAGGAGTCAAACAATGACCCAGCCATAAAATCCAAGACATTGAATAGAAAAATGAGTCTGGGGATGGAATCGGTGGTATGTGCAAAATCCTACAGACTTGTTAAGATGCACATGGTCAGAACCCAGGAAGGACCAAGCAATGTATACAACCATAGGTCTCCCTTCTGCTCTGGTGCTCTGCTGCTCGTTTTCTTTTGGCTAACGTCTGGGTTTTGTGCTGCTAAAATCTGTTACTCTGGACTCACCTGGATAGTTATCACATATACTTATCAGTGAATCCCAGTCCTTTTTATTACAGCAGGTGCTGTGGAGGGGACAAGGGTAACACTCAGTAGTGACTCTTAGGTCACCATGGGTGTGCAGGGGTGGTCCCTCAAAAGAGAAGGTTTGCAGATGGTCAGGCAGAGAGTAGGTGCTCCAGGTTTGTGGCTGTGCGGCTATTCATGCTACAGGGCTCTGTGTGGGGAGAGGTACCACAGTGTACCCCCACTTCAGGGTCAGACAGAGCACATACACACAGGCATCTGTCTGTGAGCCAGAAATTTTATTTACAAGCCTAGATAGCTGGGCTGACCCTGTATGGGCCACACGTATGGGCAGACTCATGGGTCTATAGGTGATGGACACCAGAGCCTGTGAGGATGGGGGTGTGGGCAGAGATGTAGACAGTGTGTGTGTGTTTGTGATTGTGTGCAAGAGTTTCAGTATGCAGCTCAGCTGGACCTGTTTTCTAGATTTTCTTGAGTAGAAGTTTCCCATTAAACAAACTAACCCCAAATTATTTATTTTCTTTTTCAAAAGAGTGCTTCACTTCTTGGAGTAATCAGGTGTCAGGGAGCCCTAACTCTAACGTCCATTTAACTTTGTGCCTAGGAGGTTCTGCTATCTGCTTGAGCTATTCTTGTTGCTGTTGTTGATGGTTTAAGTTGTAAGTTTAGTATCTGAGCTGTTATTTCATGTGTATTCATTTTCACGTATGTTATATGTGGGCACCAAGGTATTTCACTAAGGAGACAAGCACAAATAATTATGTCATTGCTTCCTTGGCATTTCATCTGAGGAAACTTTTCTCAGTCATGCTTTTAATTTAACAGCTGAAGCATCTTCAAGAATCATATGAAGAATTGAAGGCTCAGTCACAAGAGGAGATCAAGCACCTGTGGTCCCAGCTCAATTCTGCAAGAGCCAATGGACAGGAAGGGAGGGGTAAGGAGTTTTATTTTGACAGTTCAAATCATCAAAGGCTAAGGTTTTGTCTTTCCAATTGTTGAAATACCAGACTGGGATTTTACAACTGTGGTATCCCCTCCATGTGTTGTGATATTTTGATCCTTTGAGGGGAGATTCAGACAGACAAAGCCTCTAAACTTAACTATTATGCTTAGCGTTTGAGTGGTATTTGGAACAAAGAGTAGAGTTGTGAGGCAGAACTGAAAGCAAAGCAGTCTTCACTCTTACCTCTCTGCTCTGAAAGTTGGTGTAGTTTTTTCCTCCTTGGCTGTGCCCTGCCTTGTGATTTGGGCTCCTTTAGTGTCTTACCCTGTGGTTCTGCATGTCACAGAGATGTGAGGATAGAAGCTAGGAGAAACCACAAGTGATTAGGGGGGCAGCAAGGTTGTCGGCATCTCAGTGCTAATAGGCCCTACTGTGAGCTTCATCCTCAAGTTTGAGAACCTTTGTGTGGTACTTTAAGATAAGCACTGGACTACTGACCACAAGGTCAGCAATTCAAACCCACCAATTGCTTCTCAGAAAACCTGTACATGGGTATATGAGTTAGAACCAACTTGACAGCTCTTAACAATGGGAACTTAGACTTGAAACCTTTGGGTGACCAACCAGTGAAATCAAAGTTATTTGACGTTAGCAGTTATAAACCAACTGTGGCATTATAATCACAATAGTGATGGTGAGTGGCAAACTCTTCTCTGTATTCATCTTAAATTGAATGGCTTAAAACAACACCCCTTTCCTAGTTCAAGATGGCCTATGTTCTTTTCTCTGGTCTCAGCTTGAAATCAGGGTGTTGCCTTAGTCCTCTGAGAATCTGCTTTCTTTAGGCTGTTGGCCAGACTCAGTTCCATAGACTGTGACTGAGGCCATGTGTCCTTGATGACTGTAGCCTCGAATTCACTGTCAGTTCTTGAGGCTGCCCTAGGTTCTCACCATATGATCGTCTCCATCTTCACAGCTTCTCCTGGTGTGTGAGTGTCCCTTAATGCCATGGATCTCCCTGCCTTCCCTTCCTGCCATCAGCTGGAGGAAACCTCTTTTAGAGGACTCTTGTGTTTGAGTTGAGCCCATCTGGTACTTTAAGGCTATAGTGCCATGGGCCACATCATGCATGGGCTATGTCATGCAGCCAAGTCATGAGGGGCCCTCATTGCACTCACAGGTCTGGGATTTGGTGTGGAGCCACTTTTGGAATCCTGCCTACCATATCTCAGGGCCTGAGTTGTTGGGTGCTCTTGTGAACACCAACTCTTAGCAAAACCATATGGCAGAGTAGAACTGCTCCATAGGGTTTTCTTGGCTGTAATCTTTATGGGAGCATGGTGGTACCATATGATAAGCATTGGACTGCCAACCACAAGGTCCATGGTTTGAGCCTGCCAGCTGCTCTGTAGAACAAAGATGAGACTTTTTGCTCCTGTGAAGAATTTAAAAAGCCTTGGAAACCCTATACAGGGTTGCCATGAGTCAGAACTGACTTGATGGCACTTAACAACAGCAACAATCTTTATTGGAGGGTATTGCTAGGTCTTCCATGGAGCCGTTGGGTGTGTGGGTTTAAATCACCAACCTTTTAATTAGCAGCCAAGCACTTAACTGTTGCACCACCAGGATGCCTTATGGCCTGAAATAGCTCCTGATCGTTCACAAGTGTTTTGTTTTAAGATGATGACATATCTTTCATCCCATTAAAGATTTACGTGAGCAGCTTCTGGCTCCAGTATCTCACGTGGAAGAACTAGAACAGTTAAAGCGAGACTTTGAACAACAGCAGCAACGAGAGAAAACGGAGCATGAGACAGATCTAGAACAGTTGAGGATATATTTTGAAAAGAAATTAAGGGATGCTGAAAAAAACTACCAAGAAGACCTGACTCTGTTACAGCAACGGCTTCAAGAGGTGAAAGAAGATTCTTTTCTGGAATATGCAGAAATCAGGTATATAAAATGACTTTTCATCATAAATATGTATTTGAAATATGAGAACTTTCCATTTTTTGGTTTGTTTTTGTTGTCTTATACCTAGTGGAGACCAACAGTCTTTGGTTTCAAGTTTAGAAATGGTTACCTTTAGTTGGGACTTGAAGCAAAAATGATTATTAAATGATCTCTGAGTCTCTGGCCCATGTGACTAAGCCTGTAATTTTTCCATGTCATGCCGTGGGATTTATAGGGAGCTATGGATGCAGACTCTAGGATCCAGCATGTTCCTGAGGGTGTTCCCTCATCTGCTGGGTTACTATGTGGCATATACTTGAGAATCCATCCCAGTTATTGCCCACAGAGACAACAAACTGAGCTAGGCCACATAAAGCATGCTGGTGATAGATGGGCTTGGAAAAATATTCTCCTTTGACACAGGTGTGCCCCAGGACAGAGTGGAGTACAGAATGAAAAACTGACCTATGTTAAGTGATTAACAAATTCATGTTTTCTCTTTTAGTTCATCCAGTACATTATTAGAAGAGACAGCTGAAAAGGAAAGGAAAGAACACTTTGACCAACTTAAGCTTCAACTTGAGCAACACGAGGTGATGGGCCATTTTCTTTTATCACTGAGAAAATAGGAGTTTTAGTATCTTAGATTTATAAATCTGCATTTCATTCTTCTCACCCATCAAGTAGTAAAAAGCTTGCTTTTATATATCTGTAGATTAACATTTTGCATTATTATCTGTTTGCATATTTGTTGAGAGATAACTTCTCTAGGGCATCAATCAGAAATTAGAATTGGTGGCCCTTGCATCTATTCCTGATCTTGCTTCTCTGCATACTCCCCGTACTGCCAACTGTCAGGCTTTGTGGTCTTTCATCCTTGAATTGTCATTACACTGTTTATTTCTGTCACTTTTAACCCTACAAATCAGCACCATCCAAGCAGTTTTCTGTGATGATAGACACGTTCCCTGTGCACGATGTCCAACGTGGTGGCACCAGCATATCAGGCTGTTGAGCATGTTATGCATATGTGATTGCTATGATTGAAGAACTGAAGCTTTCATTTTATTTGACTGCAGTTAAGTATAAGTTGCTAGTGGTTATGAGTTGAGCTGCTAACCTTAATGTCAGTAGTTCAAAACTACCTGCTGTTCGGCAGGAGAAAGATGAGGCTTCCTGCTCCCATAAGGATTTACAGCCTTGGAAACCCGATGCAGGATTGCTATGAGTCAGAACTGACTCCACAGCACATCACCACCACCACCATCACCACCATCCTTTCTTAAATTATTTTTTATTGTGAACTGAGTGATCGTATACATGAGGGAACATTGGCTTTACACCATCATTTCATTGCAATAATTACGATCTCTTCTGTGCATCATTATTCAACAGTATTTGCTTCCATTCCCTCTGGTTTTCTTTTTTTATTTTTGGAGTGGTTGGGGTGGGAGATGTACACAAAAGCATTCAGTAATATATAATAACATAAACAACCAAAGGGCACATTCTGCATGCCTGCCTCCTGGCCGCCAGCTTTCAGTCCTTCTAATTCCATGAGTCTAAAGTCCTCAGTTGCTCCCTCTTTCCATGTCCTCATCTCTGCCTCCATCTCTGGTGTCGCTGTTTCTCTGGATAAAGTCCCGCATTCGGCTAGTGCTCTTCTTTCTCCCTTGATGGTCCTAGTTTACTCTATTTCTGGTCTGTAAGATTAACTACTCAACCGTTTTTGTTACAAAACTTCTACCTTTACAATTGTGACACTCTCAATTAGTTATGATAAGTTATTCACAATTGAATCATAAGAATCTTATCCCCATCTCTTTTCACCAGACCTGTCTAGACAAGATGGAAACTGTTCAGTAGGGACTTTATCTTTCCCGACACACTTTTAAACTAAACTCCCTCTTGAGAACTTGTAAGCTAGTTACTTTGTGCCTTTGTAGCCCCCTCATTTTAGGTAGTCAATGTCTAAGCTGCCCATCCCTGTCTACCCTGTATACAGAGGAGATAGCATTGATATTTGATATGAAGATTCCTTCCCTCTCTGTTGGTATTTTGAGCCACTACATCTGTAAGTATAGGTCAGGTTCATCAAATTGTAGCAATTTACACTCGTTTCCTTTATCAAAAATTGTTTTTTTGTCTTCCTTTAGTCGAGTTCTGATAACCCATCAAGGCTAGGTCAAATGCAAGTTTGGGTGTTCTTGTGCGTCTTCCCTCACTTCTTATCAGCTGGATGCTTCACTGTGAATTCTAGCCCTCCATGGCTATGCCCTTGTCCATGGGCTCAGGAGTCCTCAGGTCTCACCACAATTTGAACCAACCAGTCCTTCCTCTTCTCTTTCTCTTACCCAGGTTAAGGGGAGTCTATGGAATGTGGTTGAACTCTGTCCATTTCTTTATTGCTGCCTTTCCCCCTCTTCCACTCACCAGTAGAACAATGTGGTCATCAGCAAGCTACATGCCTGCTCATGTGTTCCCTTTAAGTTTCAGCCTTGGAGGGGGCTTATCCTGAAGGGACTTGATGGCTTCCCAACAAACAACTTGCTTGTTCTTGTAGTAGTCGATCATACTGCCATTTTTGTTTTGGGTTTTTCCTGCTGATCATTCTTTGAAGATGTATCTTCTATTGCTCTAGCTGTTCTAGGTTGGTCTGCTTGTCCTTTCTAGTGGGAATGTCCCACCTCAGAAGGTTCTGGATGGGGCTCAAAATTTCACCTAAGGTCCTATACACTGCAAAGGCTCCACAAAAGGTCTGTTTCAACTGGGAAAGTTCTAGAAACCTTCACCATACTTGTTTAGAGATTTTTTTGCTGGACAATGCAGTTCATTATAGTTGGGTGGTTTTTCCATGTCAATAAGGACAGATGTGCTACCTGAGAGTATAAGACTGTTAATCTTTTATGTTACAATCTACTATTGTTGGCATGAGTTTATTTCCAGTTTTCCTTTGTTGATGATCAATCTCTCTCTATCTCGTTCTCTATCTCTAACTCTTTATCTCTTTGTCTGTCTGTCCATCCATCCATACCTATCTGTTTGATATTTAATTATTTCTTAGGGACAAGTTCCTAGATCGATAATTTTTAATCCTCCCAGAATTGCTTCCTAAGCTTGCCTAGACCCACCAGACATTTGTGCAGCTAGTGCTTCATGCCCTGAATGGAGCATCTATTGTGGCCACAGTGTGGGTCAGGTGTTTATTTTTAATTATTAAATAGCAAAATGGGACATTTTGTTGTTGTTTAGTAAGTTTTAGCACATGCGTAGATTTATGTAACCTCCACTATAGTTAGGATACAGGACAACTTCATTACCCAATACCACCCTCCTGTCCCTCTGTAATCACCCCTCTTCTTGTCCATAACCCCTAGTTACCACTCATCTTTTCTATCACAGTAGTTTCTTAAATTCATATAAGTGGAATCATATGATATGCAGATATTGGAAACTGTCTTGCTTAGTATAATTCACTGTAGTCAGCAAAATCATTTCAAGAATCTATAATTAGGTCCTTTTATCTTGTATCCTGCAACTTTATGTTTTCACTTGGTTCTAGTAGTATTTTTTTGGTAGCTTCCTGGAGATTGTTGTCTGCATAGAAAATCATGTCTTTTTTTATCTGTGTGCCGTTTATTTTCTTTTCTTATTGCATAGGCTGGAACTTCCAGCTGTGTATTGAATAAAAGTTGTAAAGGTGGACATCCTTGCCTTGTTCCTGATTTTAGGTACGAACTGCAAGCTTTTTATATGTGCTTTTTATAAAATTGAGGCTATTGCTCTATTTTCCAAGAAATTTTATCATGAATGGATGTTGGGTTTTGTCAAATGCTTTTTTGCACTTATTGGTATTGCCATGTGACTTTTTTCTCTAGCTTGTTTTAGTATAGTACAGTGACTGATTTTTAATATTGAACCACCCCTGTATCCTCACATGGCAGTGGTATATAGTCCTTTTTATATTTTGCTGGATTATATTTACTGATATTTTGTTGAAGGTTTTGATACCTATTTTCTTGAGGGATTGACTTGTAGTTTTTTGTTTTGTTTTTTTACATTTTCCTGTCTTTATCAGGAGCAAAACAAGCTTATAAAATGGGGAGGTTCCTTCCTATTTTGGGGGAAAGTATGCATAGAATTTGTTAATTCTTTAAAAGTCTGATATAATGCTGTGAAACCATGTGGGCATGGAGATTTCTTTTTTGAGACATTTTAAATTAAATTACAAATTCAATTTCCTTGTTAGTTACAGGAATATTATAAATAACTCTTTGTTTAAAAACTCAGCATTTTAGTTGAAATGCATCCATTCCTCAAATTCACAATCAAAATTAAGCCAAGATGTAATTACTAACCATAATAATTCTATAATTAGTTTTAAAAATGTAACTTCTAATTGTAACTTCTAATTTGGCATCCTTGGGTGTTTTCTAGGGTAGTTGTCCATGGTGGCAGTTAGGGTAGGGTTCTGAGGTGGGCCTCTACACAGGTGTCTGAGGCAGTTGTCCACATGGGCATTGGGTACACATCTAGGGTGGGCATCTAAGGCAATTGTGCATGCAAGTGTCCTCCACAGGACAGGTATCTGGGGTGCAAGCAGCTGAGCTGTGTAGGTCTCTGTCTCTCCACGCAGGTACTGATAAAGGTCAGTTTAACAGTCATCAAGTCAAGTGAAGGTGTAGAGGAGGAGGAAAGGACTATATGAGGAAGCTGGACTAGTCTCATGTGGGACTGTGCAGGGCCCTGTCTTTGTGTGTTGCCCTGTTGACAATGATGGAGGAGGCCTGGGGTAGATGAGTACAGCCGAATACTGTGGTCCCTGCGGAGTAGGTATGGTGTGAGGAGATTCAGGAGGCCTCATGTAGGTCTGAGGAGAGGGTGGAGATACCATGACCTGGGATATGAGTCTGTTCTGGATTCCAGCCTGGCACACCAGTGAAATACAAAGTGGGTTCTGGACATAGGAGCCCAAGTGCAGGAGGGTGCCCAAGCTTGAGATTTGAGCTTGGGGCCATCATGTGGGGATAGCACTGGGTCATCATTGAGTGAGAAGGCAGAGGACTGTCTCTCCCTGTGTCCTTGACCTTTGTGGCAGCATGGCTGCCACAGACCCTTGATGAATGCACAGTTGTCAACAGTGTCACTGTGGACACTTTGAGGACTCGGTTGTTTCATCTTCGTACCACATTTGGCACATGAGACCTAATGTCTTGTGGTGTATCTCATTCCATCCCTTCCAGATTGAGTTTCTCCCTCCTTGAAAGTATTATTACACCCCAGTTAATGGTCCCCTGGAAGTTGACACTAACAGGGACTAGCATAATGTTTATGTGTGGCCATGTGTTGCTATGAGTTTTGAGCCAGAGGAAGCATGCTCAGTTGTGTCTCCATTAACAAGGAGTGGTGACTCAGGGAGTTGTATTCTGTGTTTCCACAGGAGAGTCTGATGCATCTGCAGACACAGCTGGAAGAAAAGCACAGGCATGACTTGGAAGTGCTAAAGTCCTCTCTTGAAGTTCAGCATGAGGAGGAGGTGATGAAAGTTAAAATGGACCTCGCAGACAAGCACCTGGCAGAGACCCAGGTGTGGAAGAGGGAACAGTGCCTGGAACTAGAAAGGCTCCGGGCTGCACTCTCAGGAGAGCATGTCCAAGGTGTGTTTCTGTGATCCCTAGGTCCTCGTGCTCTTCCAGCCCCGCATCCCCACTCCGGCCTATATAGTAAGGAGTGTTTGTGAAGAGGACTTGGATCCTGGTCACTGATTTGACTTCTCATCAGTGAGATGGTTCTGAAACTTTAGTGGTGTAGTGGATTACATGTTGGGCTGCTAACTTCAAGGTCAGCAGTGTGTATCCATCAGTTGTTACAAGGGAGAAAGAGGAGAGTTTGTGCTCCTATAAAGATTTATAGCCTTGGAAACTCTACATAGGGTCACTATAAGTCAAATCCACTTGATGGTCTTGGGTTTTAGTGGATTAAGGCTATCAATAAGGAACCATGTTGGCTCAGTGATAAGCATTTGGCTGCTAACTGAAAGATTGGTGGTTCAAACCCATCAAACACTGAGATAAACACCTGGCAATTGGTTCCCGTAAAAAATTGACCTCAGTGGCAATTGGTTCCTGTAAAAAATTGCCATTGAGTCAATTTTAACCCATAGTGAACCCAGTAAAGGGTTTCTGTGGAGCGACTGGTGAGTTTGAACCACTAACCTTGAGGTTTAAACCTACCTTGCGGCCGCGTGCTTATCCTACATTGTTGCACCAGGACTATTATAGCCTAGGAAACCCCATGGAGCAGTTTTCCTCTGCCCTGCAGTGTCACTGTGAGTTGGAATTGAGTTGACAACACACAACAATAAGAGCACCATTGCTGCTGTTCTTGGTAGTGCCATTCCATAGTGACTGCCTTCTCACCTCATTGCAGAGTTAACACGGATGCGTCTCCAGCACGCACAGAATATGGCCTCAGATGTGGAAACTGAGGTGGCGGCAAGAGTCTTGGGTTTGGAAAATGAGTACAAGGTTAAACTCTCACTTCTTCAGACTGACTCAAAGGAAAAAATGGAACTCTTAAAAATAGAAAATAGAAATTTACATGAGAAGTTGCAGCATGAAATTCATCTGAGAGAAGACATGGAGAAAGTAAGTATGACCCCTCCGAGAGAGGTTCTCTTTACCAGGGAGGGCCAGGTGGGCCCCACTTTTGTCTCTGTTCAGGTCTCGTGATCACTGATAAATTTACTGACTGTATAAAGAGCAGAGCACTGTGCTGGGCTATGTGCTCGGACTCATTCAGAACAAGGCACATGTGATGTCTCCCAGTCTTTTCCACATCTGCTCTGATCAGCTTGCGTGGCCCCAATTGTATTTGGGTACCTATGATCAACTATAACCATCTGTATGGTGTGTCATATGCCATATCCTAGACATTATAAATAATATATCGTGCATATTCTAGATTCTTTTTTGTTTTTCCAAAGAGTATTGTTTTATTTCAGCAGGCAATTAACTTGACTGAATTCAGAATCCACACCTCACCATATATAGTATAATGTTAGTTTACTTCTTTTCACCTTAACTGGCCTGCTTTTGGAGTTTGCCCACACATGTGTGGATCAGGGATCATTCTGAGATTTGGGCAAGGTTTAGCCACAGACTTTGCAGCACTTTCTCTCTCTTTGCTTCTTTCCTTACTAGGTGTCTTAGTTATCCTCTGCTGTTATAACAAAAATACTACAAATGGATGACTTTAGCAAATAGAAATTTATTCTTTCACAATTTAGGAGGCTAGAAGTTTGAATTTAGGGTGTCTGCCTTAGGGGAAGACTTTCTCTCTCCATTGGCTTTAGAGGAAGGCTGTTGTCTTTTCTCAACATCTGTGGATCTGGCATTCCTTGGAGAGCTGCATGTGTCTTAACATCAATCTCCTCTTGGATCTAAGACATTCTCAACTGAGGGACCTTGAGACCAAAGGCTGTGTCTTGCTCTTGGCTCTTTTTTCTTGGTGGTACGGAAGTCCCTTCTCTCTGCTCACTTCTCTTTCCTTTTTTCTCTTATGAAGTAGAAGGTGTGACTGAAGCAAGGATGTGACTTGAATAAGATGGTGATTTGAGTCCTTGAGTAAGATGGCACTTGAGTCAGGCCCTCTTTCAAAATTGTGACCGAAAATAGAACACATTCTAATGCTGCATCATCATTGTAGAAGTTTGGGTTTACAACACATATTATAAAATGGAGGATAATTATATCACAAAATAGAACACAACCACACAATACTGGGAATCATGGCGTAGCAAAATCAAAACATAATTTTGGGGACACAGGCTCTCCTCACTTTCTGACTCATCTGGTTCAAACATGTAAGATTGTAAGAATTCTATCTGCAAAGCAAAAATGGATTAGCTCTTAGGCTAAAAGACCTCACAGGGGCACATCACCCAGTGACATGTCTTTGAATGTCTGTCAAGCTCTCCAGGATCTCCTGCTGTTGGATATTCTCCAGAGCCTTAGGGAGTTTTTTTTTTTCCCCTGAGTTTATGTTTGTTCCCTTTGGGAAAGTTGGTCTGATTAGAGTAACTTAGTCATTACCAGAAATAGAACCCCAAACCTTGATTTCAGTTACTTGATTTTTACATAAGAGGGATTAAGGTCATTCTAATAAACTCTTTTGGTTTGGTTTTGTTTGTTATTGATGATGTTTAGTGGTTTATGGACCCATTGATTTCTCTTTTTTGAAAATCAGAATATATGCTGTCTTCCTTTTTACAAGATACCTTCAAAATTAGTTTGTCAGCTTCTTGCTCAGGGTCTTTTCTATATCCTGGAATATAAATGGTACAAACCAGGAGATTTGAGCTCATGACACTGTTCACTGTTCTCATCTCACTTGCTGATTCTTCTTTTTTGGTAGCGTTGTTCTTTTCTTTCTAGACATAAAAGTAGGACCCTGATATGTCTGGTTTTCTCTGTTGTTGGTCTTGGTTACAACAATGAAAGTGCCCAGTCCCTGTATTCATTGTCTCAGTATATATTTATATGTTTCAATTGTTCAGTTAGCTTTTGCCCGTGAATTTTAGAACTGACGACCCTAGAAATAAAGCCTAGTTGTCTCTAGATGCTAGAATGTGGGTAGCATTTTACTTAAAGCAAATACTTTAAAATTTATTCCGTTTAGCCTCCTTCTGTAAGAAGCCCTTGGTTGCACACTGATTAAACACTTGGCCGCTAACTGAAAAGTTGGCAATTTGAACCCACCAGTGGCTCAGAGAAAAGACCTGGTGATTTCTATCCTAGGAAACTGTGTGGGACAGTTCTTCTGTCACATAGGGTCGCTATAAATCAGAATTAACTAAATGGCACATAATAACAATAGTTTTTTCTATTCCTATCAGTAAAAGAGACTTTGCTGGTCCTCTGACTAGCATGATATCTATTGCAATGGGAGTCTTCCTGTCTTCATTGTGTCAGTTCAGTCATTACTGTCAATAACCTTTCCCTTTAATCCTCTTAAATGTAATTATGTTGTCTGCAGGTAAAATGTAATTTAGTTGAGGACCACCAGGAAGAAATAAAGAAAACTAAGGAGAAGATTCAATTAATGAGACAAGACTTCAAAGAAAAAGAAGAAGAGTGGAAAGTTATACGAGAGGACCTAAAGAGAAAAGCTGAAGAAAAATTAACATTGATGCTCCTTGAACTGAGAGAGAAAGCTGAGTCTGAGAAGCAGGCAATAATAGATAAGTTTGAGCTTCGAGAAACTAAAATGAGAGAGCTTCAGGGTGAGCAGGCGGCCCAGATCCTGGAGCTGGCGAGGTCTCTAGCGGAGCAGCAGAGCCGCTTGCAGCAGCTGGAGCTCGGGGCAGCTGGGGACGAGCCTCGGCAGTGCAGCCAGTGTGGTCCTGTGACTGAGGCCTTGGAGCGTACCATGCTGCGCCTGAAGGAGGACTGTGCCCTCCAGCTGATGCTGGCCCAGAATAGGTGGGTGAAGGGTATTGGGTAAGCGCAAGAAAAGAAGTGAGATGAGCCTTGGGAAATTCATTTTGTGAAGGTTTGGGGAGAGGGGAGCAGAGTATGGTGTCACCTGGTCTTTCGTCTAAGATCCTAACATTTGAGTTCAGTGCCCAGGAGCCGACAGAGGCCTGTGTTCAAGTGCTTTCAGGGCTCCTTTTTTTCTTAAGTTGTTGAATGCAGGCATCTTTGCACCTTTTTATTTTTTCTTGTGCTTCAGAATTTTAGCAGGAGAGCCTTAAACCTCATTTATAAAATATCAGAAGGACCAGTAGTGTATCACGAGAGTGTTTATAAAATTAAATGCATATTTTAAAAGTAAACAATTTTGTTTTTCAACAGCATATACTCATTTCCTGCATATATGCATACTTCTCTGAAGTTGTAAGTAGATAAGAATGGGATTTGGTTCTACACCTCTGTTGGTGCTGACCATTTAATCCAAACCTGTCAGGGCTTGTGGTGGCCAGCTATATCCTTGGGTCTTGGAGCCATTGAACCTGGTGGTTATCATCTTGTATTTTCCCAATCCCGGCCCCTCTCTCATTAGCATCAGTGAAGCTTTTGTGCTTTCTCACTTGTGAACTAGGTACTAGGGTCATGGTCCATCTCTCTGGCGGAGAGAGAGCACATTTAAAAATCGAAACAAAATTCATGTATGTGTGGATGTTGAAAAGTAAGTAATCAATAAATAAGGAGTTCTAGTAGCATAGTGGTTACAAATTGGGCTGTGAACCACAAGGTCAGCAGTTCGAAACTACCAGCTGTTCCGCAGGAGATAGATGAGGCTATCTGCTCCCGTAAAGATTTACATCCTTGGAAACCCTGTACGGGTTCACTATGAGTCGGAACCGACTCCACGGCATATAACAACAACAACAATCTATAAATGGGCCAAGTAGAGAATGTGGCTATAGTTCCAGTGTTTTACAAACTCCATGCTGTTTCCTAACCCTGATGGTATTTCAGGTGCTTTAAGCGAAAGTATGTCTTCCAGTCTGTTCCCTATTTATGCCACCCAGAGCAACGTTCAGTTTCTTTAATTCATGAACTTTAAAACACAACATAGACCTCTAAAAAGCTTTTCGTCTTTGGGTTCCCATAAGTAAAGTTGTCATGCCTTTCTTGGTGAAATATGGAGATTGCTTCCTTTCAGTGTAATGGCTGGGTCAGCTGGCCATTCAGCCCATGGTAGGAAACTGTCCTGCCTGCTTTGCCATCTTTTCTCTAGTGAACATGTGCATGCAATTTTCTTCCTGTGACTACCCTTCAGTCTGTGATCTCAAGATGCCTTTGACTTTGGGCTTTGACCTCTGAGCTCTCTGGTTTTATTTGGGCCTTTTTGTCCCATGTATTTTTAATGATGAGATCTAGAACAATTTTGTGGCAGATGGTGTAAAGAGTGAAAAAAATTAAATCAAGGAATGATGATTTTATCAGACATAACATTTCCTGTCAGAAGTGTGGTTGTGTGTTTCTGAGTGAGGGTTGGTGTTTTTATGAGAGCACATTTGCTGTTTGCTCACTTTGGGTGTCATCTCAGGCTTTTGGAAGAACGTAAAGAGATAACAGAGAAGTTTGCTGCAGAGCAGGAAACCACCCTGAAGACACTCCAGGAGAAGCATGCAGGTGAGCTCCAGCTCGTCCAGGATAGTCACCAGCAGCACATTGTGTCTCTGACAGCCGAGCTACAGGCTGAGCACCAGGCTGAGATGGGTGCCCTAAAGGCTGCACTGGAGAGTGAGCAGTGGGCACTTTTGAAAACCCATGTGGCTGAGTTGCAGACCAGACAGGCTGCAGAACTCAGTGCCCTGGAGGTGACACATTTGTCAAAGCTGGACTCCTTGAAATCCTGCTACCTGTCTGAGATCCAGACCTTGCAGAATGAGCACAGGGAGGCTCTGAAACAGCTGCGAGTGGACCTTGAGGAGCAGCTTCAGAAGAAGGATTCCTTTCACCACATGGTTCTGACCCAGGAGCTAGAAAAACTTAAACTGAAGCATGGCGAAGAGCTTCAGGGCACAAAGGATAGCCTGAGGATTGAAATGAGCAGTAAACATATTGAAAATCTCAAAGCCATGGCCGCTGAGCTTCAGCGTGCACATCAGGTGAGGCTCTGCACTGGGGGTTCCTCAGTGGACCATCTCTGTCCTTTATGGTTGTTTCTGTTGGTCAGAGTCTGTGTGCATGTATGACTATGTATATCTATGTGTCTGTTGTGTGTGAGTATACGTCTTTGTGTGTGCACGTGTGATGGGTTAGAATTAGGTAAGCCTGATGGGTATGAATCGTGTGTGGTGGGAGCGAACTAGGTGCATGTGGTGGGTGTGCACCAGCTGCTTTTGCTGGATGTGAGGATGGGTCACTGAATGTAGTAGGACTTTGTCAAATATTAGGAAGTAGATGTTCCAAATTAAAAATTAAGAAGTCCCAGACTTGTATTAACAGCAATACCAGGAAGAAATGGAATTTGATGCTCCTCTTTTTTACATGTCTTGTGCACAATTCAGAAGAATTTCATAAGTGATGGTGCCTTGTGGGTTTTTGTCCTTCACTGGCTCTGGGTAGTGAGGTGAGTCAGCTCCATGTGTCACATTTTTTATCTCTTTTTCAGTCCTATTTAAGAATATAAGAAAAAGGCAACTTTACTTATTACGTATGATGACTTCATTTTACACTTCAACTCTTGTCTATTTTCTGTAATTTTCTTAAGGGACATAGTCACTTGTTGTGAAGTTTTGAGTTCATTAGGTCAGCAGTACAATACAAGTGCCTAGTGGTAGAGTCCCAGTGTCCTGCTTGTCCATATAGTGTTCCTTTGGACTGAATGAAGACAACTCCCTGCCAATGCCGAGAGTGTGTGCCAACAGGCCTGCCTGCCTCCTGGAGGGACAGGTCTTTCTGGCGATTGACTTCATTTCCTTTCTTTCCACTTTTGATGATAGGCAAACAGAAAATGGTGTAGAAAGTAAAGCTTGTTTTCAACCTGCAGTTTCAAATTAAATGTGTTTTCTTTATATAGTTTAAAGAAAATAAACTAAAAAGACTATTCTGAAGGGAGGAAATATACATAGGTACACGTGAAAACTGAATTTTAAGCCATGTTGTTGTTGTGTTCCTTTGAATTGATTCCAACTCAATGTCTGCAGAGTAGAACTGCTCCATAGGGCTCCCTAAGCTATAATCTTTACTGGAGCACATTGCCAGGTATTTTCTCCTTTAGAGTTGCTGATGTGTTTGAATGGCCAATATTTTAATTAGCAGCCCTACACTTAACCATTGCACTACTGGAATGCCATTTTAAGCCAAAGCTTAAATATAGTAGTGGCAGAACTTGATACTAAGAAGTGTGTGGAATGTTTATCATTGTGGATGAGATGGTAGGAGTATGTGGTGGTGAATTGTGTGAGTGGTATTTATTTTGAGGAGTGTGTGGTGAACTGCAGTGTGAGTGGTGAATGTGGGGTGAACTGGTTGTCAGTGCTGGATGTCTGTGGTGAACCACAGTGTGAGTGGTGTGGATGTGTGAGGAGTATGCGGTGAGCTGTAGTGTGAGTGGCAGATGAGGCAATCAGGTGGGTGCTGTCTTGCAGGAGGAGCTGGCTGCGGCTCTACATGCTCAGCGGCACCTGCTGGAGGAAGAGAAGAGCTTGGCTCTGGAAAAGGTCAGCACCAATGTCCTGCTCTTAGAGCAGCAACACCGGGCAGCTCTGCAGGAGCTTGGAGATATGCACTTGGCTGGGGTCCAGATGCCACAGGAGGAGGCTGTGCAGGTGATGGTTTGGTTTAATGCTGATGTTCAGTGAGGCCCTTGGCCCATAGCAGCCTCATGTGAACCTGGGGTAGATGACTTCACATGTGCTGTTGACTTCTTCCTGTCATGGCTTCTAGACTTCTTAATGGGCTTCTCCTGGCAGACTGGCTATGTGGATTCACAGGGTTACTGCTTAAAGAGTGAGGCACAATTTAGAAGTGGAGCCCTGTGAACAAGTTTGCTTCTCCTCCAGGCACCTAGCCTCACACCCTCATCCCCACCATGGTCCTGTTTCCCAACCAGTCCCTTGTTCCTTCAGGATGCCTTGACTCCTCTTGAGGTTCTTACTACTTGGTTGGGCTTTCTGTTTAAGGGACAGAGGTGCAGGAAGAATGCCCTGCCCTTGTGTGTGAGGTGGAGGAACTGGTGGACGTCTGCTAGGAAGTGCCTTTACTGGGCATGTGCCTGGAGCCTGTCTTCATGCCTGAGCCCTGGAATTCATAGTACAGTCCTTTGCAGTGATACACAGAGTCCTGTGCCCACTTTCTGAGGAGGGGCATGTGGGCCACTGCAAAAGGTTCTCAGGACAGTGTGACCTCTGCCTGTAGGTCCCATGCCCATGGTGAACAGATGGGATGTAGTAGGAGGAAAACTCTGATAGGTTTAGTTAACCACACACTAGGAGGCATTATGGTATGGTATTGTTGCCCATTCTAGTGTCCTGGGGTGCTGCTGTGGGTTAATGCGCTGGACTGCAAAGTCAGTTTGAATCGCAAGGTCAGGCTTGAATTTCAAGCTCACCAGCTGCTCCTCGGATGCTGTATACAGGGCCGCTATGAACTGGAACTGACTCAATGGCATATAACAACAACAACAAATATCTGTTTGTCATAGAAATGACTATAAATGTTTGAAGCCATGTTAAGGTTCTTTGGTGTGACTTTTCTGTTGTTGTATATAGGCTGTCACAGGGAAGCATTGTTCCAGGGGAGTATTTCTCAGTGGTGCAACTTGTTCAGGGAGTACAAAACTTCTGTTTCATGTCATCCCATCATTCGCTACTGAAGATGTGGATACTAAAGCCTCTTCACAGGACGTATGTCATGCAGCTGGGCTTCACAGGAAAAAAACCAGTTGACTGGAAGGGAGGTGGGATATGCTGCCTCTACCTCTGAGCTAGTGTGGCACTGCAAGATAAGCTCTGGACCGTAAGATCGGTTTGAACCACAAGGTGGCAGGTCAGACCCACCAGCCATTCCTTGGAAGCCCTATAGAGGGTCGCTGTGAGTCGAAACTGATTTGACAACACTTAACAAGCGTTCTGATCTAAGGAGCCCTGGTAGCGTGGTGGATTTTGAGCTGGGCTGCTAATCACAAGGTCAGCAGTTCAAATCTACTAGTTGCTCCATGGGAGAAAAATGAAGCTTTCTGTTCCAGTAAATATTTACAGCCTCAGAAACCCTATACAGGGTAGCTATGAATTGGAACTGACTCAATGGCATACAGCCACTACCGCCACCCTCTGAAATAACTTTTTATGGTGTGAAATTTAAACATATGCAGAAATAGAATTATTCCGTAATTCCAATGATAATACCCAAGTCCTTGGAAGCATACTAATATGGGTTCATCTAAATCATTCCTCTCCCTAAATTATTTTGAGGCACATCTCAACAGATTATGTCTAAATCTATAGATACCTCAGTGTCTATCTCTACAAGGTAAGGTCTTTTATTGCCTGAAAAATGAATAGGAATTCCTTAATTCCATCAGATGTTCAATCCAAGTTCAAGTCTCTTCCCATTTTCGGTGGTTCAAATTGGGATCCAGATGAGACCCACATGGGCCTCATTTATATGGGGTTTTGAGCCTCCTGTGATGATGTTCACACCACATCCAGGGCCTCAGGCTTGGCCAGGTCAGGTTCCTTGTTTTTGGTGAGAAATGCCTCTTCCCTTTAGAATTGCCTCAAGTTTGTCTTACTAGAAGATACCACATAAAAGCTTGGGCTGGATGTTTCCCAAGGTACCAGGGTTATTGTCCCTAAAATAGCAAAGGACATGCTGTTCCTTTTCGGTCTCTATGACTTACTTGGGCCACAAATATCTGTGCACCTGTTTGAAAGGCAGTTCTGCTTGTTGGAAGGGTGATTTCCACATATAGAGAAGGGTTGGGTTGCTTTACAATGAACTGCCCTTTGGAGATTGCTTGTGAGAAAAGTTCTCTGAAAACAATCATTTCTTCCTGATGGAAATGTATGTTTCCTTAAGAGCTCTCTCTCCTGCGTTGGCACTGAGTAAACTTCTGGCATACAGATGCAAACTGTGTAATGTGATCAGTTTTGATTTCTCAGAGCACTTTCATCTTTTCTTGGTTAAAAACTAATCTGTTAACAGAATAAATTTTGAAAATGTTAAAAGAACCTGTGATCAGTTCAGAGTCCTGGTGTGGTGCTGTGGGTTAATATACTGGACTGCACAGTCGGTTTGATCTGCAAAGTTGGCTGTACATCAGCCACGTCTTGGAAACCCTAAACAAGGTCACTATGGGTTGGAACCAACTCGATGGCACTTAGCAACAACAATGATTAGTTCAACTAGAGTTTTGAATGTCTTTAAATCATTACCAGTTGAATTTCTTTCTTTGGTATTTGTTTATGCAACATTATTTGTTTTCTTTCATCTCTCCACATATTTCTTAACTTGATGATTAAAATATATGAGATATTTATCCTGTAATTCTGTAGGATTCTTAGAAAAACCTGAAAATGATTTTTAAACATATCTTTTCTTACATTGACCTCACCATTTGTAACATGGCAAATTAAGCAGAGTTTTCTTTGAGACCAGGAATAGAAGTACTTCCCAGGAAAGGAAGCCTCACAGGAGGGAGGAGGGGTAGGCTGCCTGACAAAGTCTTTGAGTGGCAGAGGCAGGTAGAGGGGCAACTGTGACCTCTGTCTGGTGATTTGAGTCTGCCGACCAAGTGCTCTAGTGTCCCTGACAGCCATGTACCCTTGGTGCTGCCCTGAGGACTTTCCCCAGGCATTTATCCAGCCTGGGGATACTGGGCATTACAGTCTTGTTGTGCTTGCACTCTCTCAGGCAGAAAGTTGTAGCCATTTGCGCCAGCCTCAGGTGAACACATGATGACACTGTATGTCTACGTCTTTCCTAAAGTGGTGGTTTTCAGATCACATGAGGCAAAGTGCACTGGCAGGTGCAGTGTACTGCAATTCTTCTTTATAAAGTCATGGAATTAAACTCTTTCAGGAGAGGTTTGTAAAATATTGATTGATTCAAAATTGGTCTGTGGTATAAAAAGTATAATTTTAATATTGTGACATTTGAGCCCATGTTACTTCCTGATCAAGGTGAGAATTCAAAACTTTCATGATGCTTTCAGTTTCTTATGAATGGACTTGAAGTTTTTGTAACCTTCATGTGTTTTATTGCATTCAAATTATATAAGATAAAAATCGTTGTCAGCATTAAAAAGTATCCATGTATTTGAGTGAAATTGTTGCCACAGGTTACTTTAGAGAACATAAAAGGTCAGAGGTCTGTGTTGACTTTCTTCTTACAAACAAAAGCAGGACCCCAGCACCTGGCTCTCATGGCCGAGCTGGGAGAGGACAGGCCTTGGCAATTATTCTGGAGTCCGGAGGAGACAGCTGTTTGTTAATGCACCTGCTACTGGAGAAGCAGCTGCGTAGTTATAGGTGTTAGAATTAATGATCTCTTTTATTGCTATCTTTTCTCACTTGCAAAGTATAAAAGAAAGGTTTATTTTCAATCGATACAGAGATGCAGAATTAAAACATATAAAGCAAATATTGTCATTGTCTTAGGAATTGAGATATATTTAGATAGAATGTTAATGCGTTCTTTTGCTTAAATTTGTTGGTTGGCACACCTTCTGCTAAGAAATTGTAATCAAATATATTAAATCTGAGGAAATTCTGAGTCTTTTATCCATCACTGCACTTTGTCCTGTGATTCAGCAGCAGCCACGTCAAGGCTTCACTTACTGAACTGAGACTGTTTGCCTGGAAGTGATGACTGCAGGATGAGCGAGTGTGCAGAATGTTCACTTTTCATGGAAATTGGTGTTCTGACTTTGTTTCTTAATAGCAGTTTTATTGAACTATAATCCATATACCGTAAAATTCACTCTTTTAAAGTGGTTTTTAGGATATTTGCAGTGATGTGCTACATCACCAATATCTCATTCCAGAACATTTTTATCACCCAAAGAGAAACTTTGTACCCAACACTCCTCATTGTTCCCTTTTCTCTGCTTCTAACAACAGCTAATCTACTTTCTCTCTGTGGCGTTGTCTATTCTGGACAGTTTCTATAAGTAAAATGATAAAATATATATGGTGTTATTTTGTGTCTGGTTTCTTTCATTTAGCATAATGTTTTTTACAGTCCATTTGTTGTAGCATAAATAAGTACTTGTTTTTTGTTTTTCTGCCTCAAGCCTCTTTTCATTTTAATTTCTCTGTTGTTTATTTAAGGAGCACTGGTGGCATAGTGGAGTCCTGGTGTGGTATTGTATGATAAGCACAGGACTGCTAACCGCAAGGTTGGTGGTTCAGACCCACCAGTCAAACCTTGGAAGC